GTTAGCTTCCAGATACTAACATCTAAAGTCAGTCTACTTTCTATTGATGCTGTGCCATTCTCTTTTATTTCTTCAGACAATAACAACAATAGCAACAACAACAAATATTACGTGAACAAAATATCTCTTTCTAGATCTTTCTTTATCACTTTTGATTCCGCTCGACTTTAATATTCTTTCTTTACTTGAATTGGCGTCTCCTGTTGATCGATAAGTATCATCCGTAACTGTTACACAATGTCTGTAGGCTGTTACTTTGTTTATTTCAAAGTACAAACAATACGTTACATAGTGGTGACGTATTCAAGCGATATGGCTTAAATTCACGTCACTACACGTCAGGCTGTTACTTAGATACTCTTTGATGCGGTTTTGAAAGTACATTGAATCAAGAACGTAGGGTCATGTATACATCTGAACTGTCACTCAATCGTACTGTTTCATTCGTCTTTGGTGCCATTTACAACTCCGACACTCTATGTTCTTCTATGTACATTATCTGTAGCTAGATTCACACACGTGTACGTGTACATCATGGTTGACGGAAACAGTTCGTGTTTGTTTGTTTGTTTGCTTTTTTGTGGCTTTGTCAGTTCGCTTGTAGACATACTTTCTTGTTTGTTGAAAACTCCTGCAGGTAAATGACCTTCCCAGCCAAGGTCACATCCCCGGGTGAGTAAAGGACAACAGGAACTAGCTGCCTGCGTCATAAAACAAATCCCGTGATTTATTTCTATAAACTTCCGCTTCATTAGACGGTCTGGAGTATTGATTTACAAGGCAATAATCCATTCTAGCGGAAACTAGAACGGCTCACCTGTCACAGGAAGTATGGCGGGACTCTCAGGACTGTGAAGCCTTCATAACGTAACACAGGCATCTGCACAGAGACAAATACACAAACACGTACACAAACACGCACACACACACACACACACACACATACATGTACACACACAGTCACACACACACACACACACACACACACACACACACACACACACACACACACACACACACACACACACAGACACACTCACTCTCTCACACACACACACACACACACACACACAGACACACTCACACACACAGACAGTGAGAAAGAGAGAGAGGAGAGATAGATAGATAAATGATAGATAGATAGATAGATAGATAGATAGATAGATAGATAGATGGATGGATGGATGGATGGATGGATGGATGGATGGATGGATGGATGGATGGATGAATGGATGGATGGATGGATGGATGGATGGATGGATAGATAGATAGATATCCTATCCTTGATACATATCCTTAAAGTAAAATTTACAATGTATCATTTACTACATGTCTATCGTGTCCTACATAACAGGAGCAGTGATGGTGACACAAACACACCTGAAGGCAGAATGTCACCATCCTAGTTAAAAACCAAACCGGGATAACGTCGATATTTGCCAGAAATAGGCCGAAATCTGAGCCCAGCGATGACGTGAGTGAGGTAATATTTCACGATATCAGGCCGTAGTTGTGGCCGATCTTTCACATTCATTCACCGACGGCATCCATCTTCGTGAAACAGAGACAGTGAAAAAATGGCGAGAAAACTCGGTTATTTTGGGATTAATGACCTCCAAGAGTCCTTTAGTTGTTCCATGGAGTTGAAAGGGTTGTTCACGTGATTATCACGTGATGGTGAGAATCAAGCAGGTGGCGGTTTAAATAAATAGACAATACAAAATCGCGGTCGAATCAGATTCAAGTTGTACTGCATTTGAAAGTAGCCTCTACCAGGCACCGCGGATCGCTGGAAAAATAGTAGACGTCGGCCGAAATAAACGGATAGTATACCAGAGAAGATCCCGGGCCATAGAAGATCCACGTTCTACTATTTTCCCAGCGATCCACGGTGCCTGGTAGAGGCTAGCTGAGATTGTAAATGATAGCACTGTTATGCCAAAAAACAGTTACTCAAGCAACTGGATATGATTTTGAAAACGTCAGACGTTTCAGCTAGTATCCACCAGCTTTCGTCAGTGACTGAGAGACCAGAGGGGAAAGCAGGTTTATATACACAACCTGTTGATTGATATGCAAATAAAGTGAAGACAAATTTTTGGAAGTCGAAAAAGGAACAAAAGTCAGACAAGTCAAGACAAGATGATGCAAATTAGTCTGAAAGCTCCTGTTATACAGGACAGGAGCTTAAGTGTTGTCTGTCCTCGGGGCTGGGAGTGCCAAATCCCAAGTGCCGGAAAGATCGACCCGTAGCCCCCCTTCCCTGTTGAGGGTGGGGTTGTACATTCTTTCATATATTGCCTCTTTAACACCCCGTTCCCACCAGCTAGTTTCGCGGTCTAAGACATCCGTGGAATCGAGTTTGAAAGAGTGACCCTGGTTGTGTTGTAGGTGGTGGAAAATAGCTGAGGAGTAGCCGTTGGCACTAGGTCGGCAATGTTCTTTGTACCTTACTTTAAGCGGTCGACTTGTCTCTCCGATGTAGGTGTTGTTACAATTGGGCTCCTCACATTTGAGTCTGTAAATAACATTCGCCTTGGTACCCTTGTGAGGTCGGTCCTTAGGGTGTACCAGTCTTTGTCTGAGGGTTGAGTGAGGTTTGAAGTTAGTGGCTATGTTGAAGTTTTGGAAGATCCGTCGGAGTTTCTCAGATACTCCTTGGACATACGGAATAGTGATGTTGGCCTTGTTTTTGTTGGTCAATGGTTTGCACTTCTGGGTTTTCTTAGACTGATCTGAAGGTTTGAGCGCTTTGTTGAAAGTCCAGTTTTGGTAGCCACATTTAGCCAGGGCACCTCGGAGGTGTCTTTGTTCGTCCGTTTTGGCTTGGTCTGAAGTGACAATGTTGTCTGCACGATGGAAGAGAGTTTTGATCACTGCTAGTTTGTGTTCCAAAGGGTGGTGGGAATCAAAAGCCAGGTACTGATCAGTGTGGGTTGGTTTCCTGTACACTTCGAAACGAAGGTTACCATCTTCCTCTACGATAGTTTTGGTGTCTAGGAAAGGGAGCATGTTTTCATGACTTGGCTCCTGTGTGAACTTGATGTGAACCGATAGCACTGTTAGTTACGTTAAAAATTATGTCTTCAAAACAGCCAGCTAAATATGATTCAACTGCGTCAAAACGAGGAAGAGCTGTGAGAATACTTGACAAAGTGAGCGGAGACGTTTGAATAATTTGTACCCATGAAGACGATTCCGACAAAATCGAGTATATCTTCGCTCTGCCTGTTTTGCTCGCTCAAATGCCTCTCTAGCTATAGGAGTTGTGAACATGTGATGTGTTGTTGTGCTATCTCTTATGTACAGCGCTGAGATCGCACACCTTCAGATGTTCAGAGGGCACGCGAACGAAGGTAGCGTTGCCACGACGCCCCCTTTCAACTTTGTAAAATACTGCATTTAAAGGACAGCTAATCATCTACAATAGGCTGGAAAACTCTATCATCCCTGAGAAACTTGCACCTGCTACAATCAATGTACAATGCAGTCAACAATGAACGTCCAGAATACTAATACATCAGTAGCTTTCAGAAGTTTTCTGACAGATATCCCACCAGACACAGTCAGAACCTATCCTTGAAACTGCCGCTAGTACGTCTTGAATGTGGAAAGAGCAAGTTCCTATATATATATATCTTCTGTAAGATACTTCTCTGCGTTCCTAAAAGTTCAGTTAACGCTGCTGTAAGGTGCGAATTAGGCGTATTCCCAATGTACATAGATAACCAGACGCAACTGATCAAATATTGGATAAGACTGGATAGTTTAAAAAGTATATCACGAAGCCATTAGACAAGAGCACGACTGGGTAGTCCATGTGCGAGACACACTCTGTAGACATGGTTTCCAAAATATTTGGTTGAATCCCACCACAGACGCTGTATAAGTAGAGTCATTGAATACTTTATCAACTACATGTATATAGTGTAGCGTATCGTAGCATTCATATATAGAATTGTAACATTCCTGGCAAATAATTTAGTCGACACTCTGTGTAGTAGTCATAAAATTGTTTTGTATAGGTACAACTGCTCACTGTACCCTTCATAAGTATAGTTTAGCGTAATGTAGAACGTACGTGTAGAGTTGAAATATTTTCTAGCCAGTAGTACTTTATAACACTCTGTCAAACACAATAACCGTTAACCATATATGTAGAATTATGATAGACTCATAGCAACTAGTAACATTATTATTTGCCATACACTGTACCCGTGACAATCGTTGTGCAATAAACTTTGACTTAACGGACAGGGCTATGAATTTGTACATTTTTGTTATTATTATCATGACTTATAATTGTTATTGGTCGGTTACTGTTTTACATTATTACGTTTACCGAAAGAAAACATATTGTTTTTGCTACGTTTCTTCTTCTTCTTCCGTTCCTAACACTGACCTCTGACCTGCAAGGCCAATGACCTGATTTGTTGACGTCTCTCACCATGGTAACTTGTGTTGGGTTATATAATGTTGCAAAAAATTTCGGCCAAACAATTCGACCATACTGTAAACCGTACAAAGCAGCTGCAAAGTGCGCAAATATATAACCTATGTAATAATATATAACGTAAAGTAAAAAAAGAACAAAATTAAATATTGCAAAACGATACTAAAGTCATAGAATGCCCAAATTAATTCCAAAGGAAAAGAGGAAATGTGATGAAAATGAATGCCATTATTCGCCATACCATACTCCGTGTGTTTAGTCATTTGTTCCAACTTTATGACTATGCAGATGTAATAATGAAGGCAACTTTTTTGCCAAACCTTCATCTTTTGTTTAATTGGAACGCTCGCATCAGTCTGGGCTTCCCAGAGGATGTCAGCTAACGTTATATTATCAAATCAACGTTGCAACAGGGCCTTGGGGATAATGTACCGCAACTTTGCCAAACCCTTTCTTTTTCTTCGCACGCTCGCATCAGTTTGGGGGTTCCCAGAAGATGTCCGCTAACGTTATACATTTGTACATAAAATTATAATCAAATCAACGCTTCAACAAGACCTTAGGGATAATGTACCGCATCCGATTCTTTCCTGATGTTAGATACTATAACCATAGGTTCACAGAACTCATAGTTCGGCCCCCTCCACCACTTGTCGATGTCGTTATAAACCTTTCTCTCAGTGGGATTCGCGTTTACAAGCTTCTTACACAGTTCACACCAGTCGCGTTCATAGTCGGGTAGGTTCTTTGGGGGGTTGTTCCTCCAGGCAAAGTACTCCATGTACTTGTCCTCGTTCTTGTCTAGATACATCAAGTAGCTTGCCAAGGCTCTGGGGGTTTTGAAATCGTCTATGTGAATAAAAGAGTTGGACGGGACGAACCTCTCATAATCACTCTTCGGTGAACCGAGGACGACCGGTACAAGATCATGTTTAAGGGCGTTTTTCCAGAACTTTTCTGTGATGTATTCTACACACTTGAAGTTTTCAAATGCCAAGTAGAATTTGTACTGGCGTAGGTGGTCAGAAAAGCAATTCCGGTCCGTCGTAGCACAGTACTGCTTTCCACAACCTCCAAACACGTCAACATGGACGTACTTCATGAGTTCGCTAGCATACGAAAACCTGGACAGGTGTTTGTAGCAGTCGCTGACATACCATATGACCAGTTTGCCTTCTTGTTTTGGGTAATGTTTGCCTACAGTATCTGGTCGTCTGGCGATTTCTCGGTAAATTGAAGTAATGTGACCCCAGGGCATGTAGACGTCCGAGTCGTTACGGTAGGTCATGGTCCAGTTAAAAACACCCGCGTAGGAAACCCAGTCGGTGTGTCTGGTCATGTACGGGCAGTCAGGCGTGCGCATGATCCACTGCTGCTGGGCCGGCCGCGGTGCTGGGAAGTAGGACCTAGAAAATAAAAACTCAGCCTAACTTTTTGCAGATATTGTTCAATGTTAGCATGAAAGTTCATCTGTGTTGGAACAAGTCATTATGAAATAAAGACTAAACTTCCAACACTAACAAAGTATTGTTTTCCACGTTCCAAGAGTAGACGGGTCCATTCCGTGAACAAGTTTGATGGAGTCAACCAAAAATTTGGGGTAACTCCCAATACTTTGTTAGTTAGTATTGGAAGCTAAAGCTTAGTTTTTATTTCGTAATTGTTCAATGTGGTTATTGATACAACACAATGACGCGTATCGTAATATTATTATCATATGTAAAATGTTGATAAGTTTTCTTTCAAAGTAGTTAGAAGTGGAGGTAAATAGCAGGTAATGATATAATGTTGTATTTTATGTGTGTAAGAGGACTCCAGGAAGAATAGTGGTGTATTATCACTAATTGGAGATTCCTTAGACAGACAGACAAACAAACAAACAAACAAACAAACAAACAAACAAACAAACAAACAAACAAACAAACAAACAAACAAACAAACAAACAAACAAACAAACCTGTTGTAGACTGTCGGTATTAGCCTGAACCAAAAGACGATAGCGTCTGCATCTGTCACCTGCAAATTGAAGATGAAAGAATGAAGGAAAATACTAATGACGTCACGTAAGAACAAAATAGACAAACCTGGGACAATTAGAGAAATTTTCAACATGCTGTTATCATGCCCCGACTCTGTATCTGTTTATCTAGGTCAATATATAGAGAAACCATGTCACAGCAATGTGAAATGTATTATTCCGTAAAACAGCTAGATAATTCAGTATGCCACGGTTATTGCCACCTGTTGGGAAAATGCTGAGAAGGAGACTTACAGATATGCACATACAAACATTTTTTTCATACTTTGTCATCTGATAGTGGTAAGTTAAGATTTTATGCAAAATGTAAAACCATGTACAACATAGAGCGATATCTTAATCTTGCAGATTTCGAACTACGCTCAGCCATTGGCAAAATTGGCATCCTCTGGAGATAGAGAGAGGCCGGTATAGAAGGCTACCTGTATGTGAAAGAATTTGTAAATATTGTAATGCAAAGGCTGTGGAAGACGAAATACACTTTATCTCAAATTGTTCTTTTAATACCAACGCTCGAAATGAGTTAATTATTCAAACTTCTACAATTTATCCCAATTTTACTAAACTTACAGACAAAGAAAAAAACTATTCTTCTTTTAACTTCCCCAAACTCACTGATTTTTGACAAGCTTAGAGTGGGACATTACGTCTTCCATAGTCTAAAAAAGTGAAGTCAAACCCCTTAGACATAGTTTTAGTCATAGCTATAGCTTTAGACAACTACATTTTATCATGTAGATTTTAGTTATTTTATACTCTGTTTCATTGCTCTGTTATGTTCGTAATTTGCAATTAGCCCCCTGGCACCAATTTGCAATAAACTTTTCATTAGAAGATGTACATGTATTGAATGATAAGGTCAGATCAGTACGCTAATGGGAATAGTTTATAGTTATTAAGTGTTATTCGATGCAATCGTTGCGCAATAAACTTTGACTTTACCTCTCCGCGGTCCTTGGTGAATTCGCACTGGGGCATGGAGGGGCATGCTTGTCTGGGCAGTACTTTTAACGGTGGCCACGGGTTCCAGACCACAACCTTCCTCATGTCTCCTGGTGCTTTCCGTGCCGTGTGTGTCGTTTTTTCGTTCCAGACGGTATAGTACTGTGACAGGGGATTGTCGTCGGCAGAAATGAGGTGACTGTACCTGGGCAGTGCCGTGCGCTGGATCGTGGGCGCGTTTTCTAGTCCCGGACGATAGTGCATGCGTAAGTCTTTGCCCTTCTTTCTGTAAGCGGGACGATGTGGGGAATCGGAGTGTTTCGCCACACTGGAAACGTTAAATCCGGTATACGCTATGTACATACACAGCACAGTTAGGATCAGTAACAGAACCACTAGAGCTCCGGTCTTTTTCAGAAAGTCCGTGTTTGGTACCTGGGTAGCCTTCACTGCCTTTCTTCCATTCTCCATACTCGTATCGTCGTCGTAAGTCTTTCAGGCGAAACAAATTAAAACGGTAGAGCTAGAGATGTCCTTTCAGTACGCGTGCCGAACGGAAACACTTGTCTTACGCAGTTTCACGATAGTGAATCGTCCTACAAACGTACTTGCGCGGTACTGGTGACTCCTGTCTAAGAATTGGTGCCTGAAACAAGAAACTATGGTTTACTATTTTAGTTAACAAATATTAGAAGAGTACACACAGTTCTTGAGAATGCAAAATTTATGTTACTAGTAATTGCCAGTGCAGCACAAACTAGAGTTCCACGATCTCATACCTTCGCCAAATGACGTTAATCTTTATGATTGACAAATTATAGATTATTCCTCCTGATTATGCAAATAGGATCCTCATTTCCATGAATTATATCAGTTGATCATATTCTTCACAAATAGACAGTCTTATCTTAACAAAGAATGTCATTCTAGCATTTCCTCATGAATTATGCAAATGAGGCTCTTATTTGAATAAGTTATGTTTAATGATATTCACCTTCACTTAACTTTCAAACACCCCAAGTATGAAATTCCAGACAGTTACCATTGCTGAATTACAACATTTTCTCATTAATTATGCAAATTAAGTATTAATTTACATTATCAATATCTGTCTTTGTTTTTCTTGTTTTCAGTCACATACACTGCAACCTGAATAGTCCTATCATGTAATGGAACTGGTTTATAGAATATCCTCATAAATTATGCAAATTACATCCAAATTTGCATAATTGCCACATAATTATGTCAAGCATCACTTACATGTAAGCTACCTACACACCAAAAATCATGACGATCTGTCAACCGGTTCTTGAGTTATCCTCGTTTGAATATTATCAAAACAAATGCCCCTGTAGTTCCAGAGCAAGCCGGTAGGGGGCCCAAACTCATGTCACTTATTCCACATACCATGCAAATTTCATGACCCTAGCATGTCTAGCGATATCAAAACCGGAAGTTCCGCTGCAGTACCATAAGAAGCCGCTAGGTGGTCCAAAATCTAATCATTTCCAGGTCTCATCAAGACCAACCCACCTACCAAATATCAAGTTAATCCAATAAAGCCTTCTAAAGTTATCGTGTTTCCAGACACACACATATACACGAACGCCTCTGAAAACATTATTAACATTCTTGGCGAAGGTAAAAAAAGATACCGGTACAAAAAAGGACGCCCAATAACAAAAAAAAAATAAATAAATAAATAAAAAACACCCCAAACAAATGATAAGTCAAAGTCCTGCTCGGAGAGAAGGTACGAAGCTGAGAAACTAGTCTACAAGCTAGCAGATCCTAGTATGGCAAAAGACAATTCAAAATTGGCCAGCAAGCATCCATTCGCCACACTGTCACTGGGAAACAGCCAGAGGCAATGCAACAAACGCTGACACGGTTCAGAAAACAACAGAAGCTGTTATCGTGGCCCATATACGGATGAAAACAAACCTTTTCATAAAAGGCACCGCCACGGTAAAAAAAGTGCGACGTTTTATTATGAACACGGCGGTCGGTTGCTAGGCTAAAGTCGCATTACTAGGGAGGTATCGGGTTACAGAACGCGTTCGAACGTGGCTGCGCGGGCGTCCCAGCCCGGCCCGGGGGCAACGGGTAAAATTTGAAAATAAACAAAGGTAATTGGAGAGTAAATACTCGTCAAAATAAAATGTAATAAGTGATTTTGTTTACCTCAAATGTTATTCTTGCACTGCCTTTGCTCCACTTTGTGTACATTTGCTTCCAAATGAGATCAATTTCGGATTTCAAAAAGGGTTCACGAGAACCAAACAACTGATTTTAAGAGGCCCCGAAAATTAAAAATAAGGTTAGATTTTTGGATTTTTAGAAATATTACAGTAAATTTAAACTTTCTGTCTTAGGATTTTTTTATTTTTTAACTAAAACTCGACTTACAGTCAAAAGAAGAGCTAAAAACGCAGTGTTTTAACTTTAAATACCGATAATTCATAATCGCGGCCATATTTTAAAAATCCCTAAGACAGAAATCTGCGGAAATCGTTAGCTCTTCCAACCAAGCCCTCAATGAGGTAATTTGAACGATTTTGGGGAGTGGTTAAAATACC